TATATATGTGTGTGTGTGTGTAACCAGGACAATTTCATTAAATGGAAATAGTACAAAGTAGAAAAAACTGCGTAATATTATAACTAAAAGATCACCTCTAAACTTTGAAAGATTGCTTTTAGAGAGTGACATATGTTGGCAGTACGTCCTCCGGTGAGGTGGGTGGCCTCATTTACATTTCCCAATTGGGTTCATACACACATCTTCCCAAGAAATAAAAAATCATACCTTGCTTTATATATATATATATATATAAGCATTTTTATATGGTCCATATGTGCATTGATTTTCGACCCACGAAAAAAAAAGAATGATTACTTTTAGGATAAATGACGTATAAAATTAAAACATAGAAGAAACAATGATATAAACGAAAATGGTAATCGATAAGATGGTAATAATAATCATACTACATACCAAGAAATTAAATGTACATTTTTGAAGTTTTAAATGTTGCTGCTAAAATAGTTTTATTTATTTCAATTCATATTTATTATATATATATAACAAAAATAATGTTATTTTATATTTATATTTCAATAAAAATAACTCCACTTATTTTATTATACTATTCTATTTTTTAATGGATAACAAAATCAGGATGGACTTTGTCTCTTCCATTTAACCGGTTGAACCATGCGTGCACATATCATTAAATATTAATATCGATATTTTAAATCTTTTTTTTTTTGTTAACTCATATTCACATATATAAATATAATGGACATATTGTATACACAAACCTATGTAATTGTGAAATGACGTGTCACCGAATAAAACAAGAGATTGTCATCACGTCATCAGTTTTAACGTAACACACGTCGTTTCATCTTTCTTCAATGTTGTTTAAGCATCTTTTTCAGTGCACCACGTCACCATATAATCCATTAATTTCTTAAGAAAATAAAAAGTAGTAATCATTAAAAACACGTACAGAAAAAAGAAGCACTAAATTACGTGGTCCGAAATAATTGAGGCGAGAGAAAGATATAATTAACAAGATGAAAGAAATAAAGATACTTTAAAAAAATATTCTCATCAAGAAATAAAATTAAATATAGGCTTTATCATATATATATTATAGAGAGTTATTACAATTTACAAGTTCAGGAATAACAATACGAAGCTTCACTTGCTTGCTAGTTGCTAGCACATGCCATTGCAGGAACTCATGCATGCATGCATGTATCAACACATATTCGACATGCATGCATGTGTACATGTAATACATGTTCGACAACAACATACAGAAATGTCCGAACAATACAAACTTTTCACCGTCTCTTATTCTTGCTCCCAAGCAACAAGGAGAAGTAGAACAATGTCCTGAAGAAGAAACCCCAAGCTACCGTGGCCCACAAGCAATCCCATTTGTCCAGCTGAGTGATGCCTTGTTGTCTAAGCAACTCGGAGCCCGTTCTCAGACACGTTGATTCTGTTATCTCCATCCCCAGAGCACTGCTCAGTGTTCCTAGAAGCTTAACCTTCATCGATTCAGGCACTTCGGCAAGAATTGTATTGTCGAAAACCTGAATTCCTCTGATATAACAGCGAGAGGGGCCACTGAACTCGTTCTGAAGAACAGCCTCGTACGGATACTTGAGAAGAGATATGTAATGATACCATATCCAGTAAGGCGGGATCCGATCCCGGTTGATGTAGAATCCGGCGAAGAGTAGACAGTAGGAGAGGAAGGCGATGGTGACCATGTAGCTTATCATGACATTGGGGACGACGCCTGATACGAAAGTGACGAAGGAGGATCCCGACCAGAAGGACGCGTAGATTATGAGGCAGTAGTAAAGGAAACCATCGAAACCGCCGCTTAATCCGACGGAGAAGAACGTGGTGGCGGCAAATGCGACGGAAAGGGCAAAAAGCTGAGGCAGAGAGACAAGGGAGTGAGATATAACGTAGGAGGATATTCTGTATGCGTTGTGAGCTGTTTCTTTCAAGAAAATGTATCGTTCTTGGATGAAGACGGGGAGGTTATCGGCGCAGCAGTAGAACATGGTGGCCATGGCGAATGCGAAGAACCCTAACCTTTCTTGCACTCCCCTTGGAGTATCGTCCACTCTCCAATACACAGTGGCTAGAAGAAAGCCGGTTATAAAGACGGTGGCGAGTCTCACGCCGATAAGCTCTGGCATCCGGGACCAGTTTATCGCGTATCGTTTGGCTAAGATTAGGGTTTCGAGCCATGACGGGTTTGCGTACGAGGATATTTTCGCCATGGAATTAGGGTTTGCTCCACCTGAGCCAGAGACCAGTTTGCCTCTGGAGACACTGACGTTGATAGCTTCTTTCAAGGACAAGCCTTGGTGTGGGGTGATTCGTGGAGTGGCTCTGGCCGATTGGCAAAGGCTTAGCTTCTCCTCCTGCCATTTTCGGTGGAATTCGACTAAACCCTTGTTTCCTTCAGGTGACCCTTCAAGTTCCCTGATTAGATCCAACGCAAACTCTGCAATGTTCTCCTTCTCCGGTATTGGATGCCCAAATTCCGACAAGAACCGAGGGAGACTGGCCGGAGATCCACTGAACACTGTCTGTCCACGGGATAAGATGATGAGACGGTCCAACAACTCTACAATCCGATAACTTGGCTGATGGATCGACATCATCACGATGCTCCCACTCTGAGCGATCCTCTTCAGCACCTGCACCACCATGAACGCACTGGTTGAATCCAAACCCGAGGTGGGTTCGTCGAGCAACAAAATAATCGGGTCGTGGATTATGTCGATTCCGATTGAAACTCGCCGTCGTTCCCCTCCGGAGACTCCGCGATGACCCTCGTCTCCGATGACTGTGCCCGCCGCGTCCTTGAGTCCTAACTGGTCGATTAGGGCTTGAACTCTGTCTTTCTTCTTCGATTTGGGCAAACTTCGCGGGAGGCGAAATTCGGCGGCGAACATTAGGGTTTCTTCGACGGTGAGCATAGGGAAGAGGAGATCGTTCTGCATTACATACGCCGATATCGTTTTCAGCATCCGAGATTGAAGAGGTTCTCCGTTTAGGGTTACAGTTCCTCCCAAGCTCCCCTCCGCGATTCGCCCCGCTAATGCATCGATCAACGTCGATTTCCCGGCGCCGCTTCCGCCGAAAACGGCGAGGATCTCTCCATCGCAAGCCTCGCCCGAGATATCACGGAGCAGAGCCTTCACCGGAGCAGAGCTCCGCCGCGAGAACAACGACGGAAGATCGAATTTCTGGTGTAGCCTGACGCTGTAGGTGAGATTGTCGAAGGCGAGGACGAAGGGAACAGGAGGTGTCTCAGGAGCATCGAGATCCACCACGTGGTGAACCGGAGCTTCGCCATCGCCGTCGTCTTCCTTCATTACGCTGCCGGAATCTTTCAGAAGCTGCCGAAGAGTTGGTAAATCGCGGCCATCGCCTCCGGCGGAGGGAATTTCGAGCTCGGCGGAGTGAAACTCGTCGTCGGCAGCAATACGAGGCATTGGAGAGCAGAAGTTGGAGTTCGAGACAGCAAACAAACGTAGACTGACGGCGAAGTTAACGGCGTGAGGGAGGAGGAAGAAGAAGATGCAAGAAGGGGAAAGTGTGCATTGAATTGACGGCGTTTGATGTTCATATCAGTAATCAGTGTAGTGTTATTGCACCTCCATATATAATGAGCGGCACGCCGACGAAGACGACGGCGACATTTTATATAATTACAATTTTACGAAAAAAATTATACTTTTTAATTTTATTTTCATAGATAAATATTAAATTGACGTTTTTATGGTAGTTAATGCATCGCGTACATATAAGACGGCGACTAAAAGATAATGGATACAAAGCCGTAACAATTCATATGAATCCCATTTAAATCGAATTCTAGAAATATGTATATATATATATATATATATATATATCAATATTCGAAAATAGAATTGGGATTGGGAGGTCACTGCCCTATCTACATGCATGATCCACAGCTAAAATATCGTTACTTCTCTTATAAAACTATATATAGGATACCAAAATATAATCATGACCCTCTTCTCAATTAACATTGATTCTAGTTTTTTTAAAAATAATTTAAGTAATCTCGAATTTTTATCTTTCTCTCCCAATTGAATTGATTTGTGTGTAATCTGGGCTTAGTGCTATTAATGGAATATTTAAATTAACATGCATTCTATATATTGTTTTTAATTTAAATGGTTAAAAATTATCGTGCGAGAAGGTCCAAATCCGTTGTTCATAAGATAAATTCGAACTAAACTGTAAGAATATACCGTTAATATAGAAGATAATCTAGTTATTGCTAATTACACTTTTTAGTTTACTAGTTGTGAATTAATTAATAACCTTCTATTGATTTCCCTAAGCCAATTTTAGTTACTCGGTTAATGTATTTCCAAGAAAAATAAATTAAAAGAATATAACATTTTTTTCACAAATAAAGAAATACTTTATAAAAAGTTTGAAACAAAATCTTTCGTTAATATCAACATCATTTTCTTTTGTAATACAAGTCCAACGATTTAGCCAATTATAACGTGATTTTAGTTCATCATTTTTTATTTCTTTTTTTTTTTTGTCAATGGAATTTAAAATTCGATTGAATCGAATTTTAATTCGGATGTTCTCGCGATTTAATTGAAATTAACAAGGAAATCGTGATTTTTTTTTTCATTACACGGGATTTAAAAAAACACTTTTTTGTGTAATCAATCACATATGTTTGGTTTGTTAGCTGTCTTTGTCTTCTTAAATGCCGAGGGGACATGTCGTGCGTTACATGACAATAGCTCTAATGACTCTGCAAAGATATCTTTCCGTTCCAATAATAATAATAATACAATATATGAATTTTCAGAAGGGGAAAAACAATTTATTACCAATATTCACACATTTTTTAAAACTAATACTGAAAATTCTTAAGTGATTTTTTTCATCATATCATTACAATTTACAACAATCCCATTTTCGTATCATTTCATTTTTCACGTTTATATGCAACGTGGCATCTAAATTTGATGAAATTGACAATATTGCATATTAGGGATGGGCTGATATGTACATAATATATATATATATAGTAAAATTTTGCGTTATGATACATTATATATATATATATATATACACACACATACATAAATGACTTTTAAATAATTCCGCATTAGATAAGGAAGACGCAAGGGGTCAGAGCAACCAACCGATTTCTTCAATGCGAGTCAATATTTCAGTCTTTATTCAATTTATTTAAATTTAAATCTTTTCCAAACCCTAATAAGTTCTACAGAAAATAATGCTCTGTTGGACCAATCTAAAAAAAAAAAATGTGTACTCATGCTTAGCTCGACAGGCGAATCTATATTGAAAAATGGTGGGGACATAATTTTTTTTTGTAAAATAAAATATAGAAATTAGATAATATAAAATATAAACAATTCATTAGCTCAAATATTTTATATATATTTTTTTGTTTTATTCTACCTGTTTTGTTTTCCATTGCTCCCGATTCAATTTCTAGAAATACTATATTGTTATATTTATGTAATAAAATAATCTTTTTTTGGACCTACCCCTCCTTACGTCTATTGTGTTTTTATTTTGTAAAGATATGCATATATATAATACAGCATTTGTAAAAAAAAATATTTTAATTAACATGGAAATTGATAAATGCCTTGTATGATGTATGATTGTGAAAACTTATAATCAGATCTGAAACTCCCAATGATTCAATTCCAATCTAAGATCACTAGATCGATCTTGATTTCATAGACTAAAAAAACCCATGATATTGCATTAGAATTTAGAACTTTGTAATGACCATTTCACTAAAAATGCAAACTGTTAAAAATATTAACAGTAAATATATCAAAATATTTAGTTCCACTTTTTAAATATTATCTTTTCATCTTTATCATATTTATAGAAAAACATTCCATATAAATATATAGAATATATAAAACTGTTAAAATGTATTTTAAATGTGTGCTATGAATATATATTTTTGAAAGATCGCATAAATATATAGATTTCAAAAAAAATTACAATTTTTTTTTATAATGTTATTGCCCAAAGTGGGACTCGAACCGGCACTTGACCACCCACGTTAGGATAATTACGGATTTTTCACAACCGTAACTAGGGCTGATGGTTTCGGTTCGATAAGAACAGAACCAAACCAAATCGAAAAATATAATATTTTTTTCGATTTAAACCGTTAGAAAACCGAATTTTTTTGAACTGAACCGAAACCGAAATTGAATCAAACTGAACATAATATAAAACCAAATGGTATCTATTTTTGTAAAATCCGAAAAAACCGAATCGATGCATTACCGTCCCAAACCCGAATCGAGAAATGTATCCACCCCTAACTGTAAAGGATTAAAGGAGTTCAATAAAACAAGTTGTCTCATCCATAAATTGACGTCGACATCAAATCAAAACCATACGACGGTCAATCAAAATACAAATATGTACATATTTTTTGGTGAATATATATATATATATAACACTTACAGACATACATATTTATACACAAATATATATATATATATATATATATATATATGAGGATATATATTTTTAAGCATATATATATATATAGCGATTTTTATTGACATGGCACATTGACGCGTTAATTTTCGAAAGTAGAATCCATCGGTCTATTTGACGGTGTTAACAATCATTTAGAATGTGGTAATCTTTAAGAAAATTCTATGTTTATATCACCTTTTCAATACATATATATTCATATATACCACTTTCAAAATTTATATATTTTCCTTACAGGTTTATATACGCAAATGAAACCATAACTGCCTTTAGATATTAGATATGCAGTTAATATAATTTAATTAACTCATTTATTTGATTTAAAAATAATCATTAAAACATTAAAAAAAAAATTGATTTGCACCCTTAAAGCATGGAAAATGAATGAAAATGGAACTCACATGGAAACCAATTTGGCAATCTTCGATGCAGAGAATATAGAGCTTGGAGGCAAATCTTCTGTAGAAAGAAAATTTGTCACACTCAAAAAATATCATTTTCATAATTAACAATAATAATAATAATAATAATAACACCTATTTCATGTGTTTAGTATGATATATAATCCGATATTTGATTAATGGAGGAAAAAGCATTTCGTCCTAATGGATGAATTCACGTCCATTTTAATGAATATATCATTAAATGCGATTTTTTACTTCCCATTGAATATAAAAAAATGTAGCAATTATTTTTTTTCCATTATTCCTAAATTATTCAACGTTTTAATTGTATTTTACATTTCAAAAACGTTAAAACGGTTATTAAAATCAGGACCGACTGTCTCAAGGGTGTACAACCAGAGAGGTTGCACCGAACCCTACAAAACCCCAAATCTAGGATTTTTTTTTTCATTTTTTTTTATATTTAATAATTTTATTTTATTTTTTATAATTTATTTTATCATTAAATATTTTTTTCAATATAATTCGAGAATAATTTTTTTTCCATTATTTAATAATAATTTTTTAGTTAAAATTTTCGTCCCACTCTAACATAAGTGATAAAATTTAGGGTATGATATTTTTTTTGGTAAATGTTTAGGGTATGATATTGCATATATATATATATATATATATATATATATATATCCCCTTGT